CATTTACATATCAAGCCCATATTTCATGGAGGTATGAGATCTCGGAACTCTTGTTTTTTTTTTGAGAACAGGCGAAAATTAATGCGCGCGTGGATGTCATCCATAAAATTAAGTCGGTGTGGCCTAACTAGCCGTATCACACGGGGTTCTAACGGTTATCACACAGGCTTCCAAATGTTCCATAGGCATGTGTATGTGTAGCATGTAGTACCTCAAGCAACGTTTAGGCCACAGCATGTAAATTTCATGGATGACATCCTCCGCAGGCTCATAATATAATGCGAGAGGGCGAAAAAAGCGAGCCATAAAAAAAACTATATTTTCAAATGTTGACATCATAAACCCTGTGTAACAAGAGATGATACCTATATTGTGCTAACTTTACTGTTAACTATCACAACATGCATTTATCACTGAACCAACTTTGAAAAAGGAAAGTTTTCAATCATTGTACAAATGGGAACATTTAAAAGGAATGAAATACATCACTGCATTAAATTTAATTAAAAGTCAAAACAATAAATCAGAGCCTTGTCTTGTCTCCTCTCTTCATATTTATCTGCCCTCCACGTTCCGGTATGGTAAGACATGCCATTTTGCCCATTCTCGGCATGTTGACCACTGGCAAAGGGCAACAAAATTGTTTTCTTCCAAAATCAGACAAAAATCAATACGCGCACTAATGTCATCCATAAAAATTACTTGCTGTGGCCTTACAGTAACTGTACCCATAATGATAACAGTGGACTCAGACAGTTTTAAGATCTCCAACTTTATTCTTACTCAAATCATAAAATATTCTGAAATATTCAAAATAACCGTTGCTATCATATCCTTGTCGGCTTCAGAAAGAGGCGCTATGTCACATGTTCACATCAACTTGATGTAGAAACTACAATATACAATGTATATCCTTGCAATATACCTGATCGCTCGCAAAGAGAAGCACTAGAGTAGAAATCCCAAATACACGCGGACCATTTCTGTGAACGGTTTCTCCTCTAGTCTTACATGGCTCTGTACGTGACGTTACGCAAATAACACAGCTAAGCCTAAGAAGAATGCTTACCACGCACGGTATCAAGACCTGTTTTAGACCAACTAGAACCCTCCGGAATATACCCAAGGACAAAACACTAAAAGAAAGTAAATGTGAGGTCGTGTACCATTATAAGACACAGTGTCAAGGACAGAACTCCAAGGGCCCAGTAAGGAAACATATATTGGAGAGACTGAAAGATCCTTCAGGGCTACTAGTAGGTTCTTAGAACTAGCTCGACTACTTAGCGAATTCGGAAGTCTCACAACATATACACATTGAATCGTCTGGACATTCAGTCTCATTTGATGAAGTAAGAATCTTGGACACAGAATCGGACTTTTTTGGATGTGGGATTTAAGAGGCCATCTACATCAGGTATTACAACCATCCCTCAACAGAGACGGGGGGCGCCACAGACTTTCTGCAACCTATAATCCACTACTCACGGAGTCACGTGTATCTGCGTGACGTCACGGAAGCGGTGAATTGCTCATTCCTTCACAAAGACTGGAGTTTTACAGTCGAAAATTTGTATGAGTACAAATCCTTGTGTCAAACTTGTTTCACAATGAGTTCTACCAACACAGATTGTTTCAATCGTCTCATACACTCGCACGAAAATGCTACCGGGGAACCCAACTACTGGCCTCCCTATCTTTGCTGCCCATACCCAGCCATTTAATGCACGCACAACTTCTTAAGACATAAAAAAGCTATATGCCACAACTGATCTTGACCACTGCCCCCCCCCCCAAAAAAAACCCTGCCTGATTACCAAGTATCAACACAATCCAGTCAGGCCCTCTTAAGTTATGCTGACAACAAATATGGCGACCCACTTTCATATAGCGGACATTCCGTACTTCTGTACTGTACAATAACAGACTCATTCGGTCCACGAAACGTGAAAAGCCTTATATAAGCTTCTTTTTCAGCACTTGATGCATATAGTGACGTCTGCTCTTTTGTTGTGAGCATGTACCATGACCGAAACGCGAAACGCTAAACAATACGAAAATGAAAAAAAAAGAAAATCCTTTAAATAAGCAAGATTTGCCCCTTCTGTTAAGCACTTGATCCATGGTGAAAGCACGTTATCAATGGTGACGTCCGTTCTTTTGTTGTGATGATGAACATGGCCGAATCGGCAAATACAAAACTACATTTAAATAAGAACAGGAAAAAACATTTTCAATACGCAAGATTTGCTTCTTATCTAGAGATTATTACAACAGGTGATGCACAAAAAGGACCGTCTAGTAAATTGACCAAAGACCGTATCTAGTAATTGACTAGGTAAGGTAAAAATAATTGACTCCGACCAATGCCCAATATTGTGAAGAAAAACAAACAATAGTACATCTATTTGCTGAATGCCACACCGCCAAGAATTTCCGGAAAGAGTGGTGGAACAAAGATCATACGCTTCCCGCGGCTCTCTCCAACAATGAAATTATTTATGGTCACTTCTCCCCCCTCCAAAACAATAAAACATTGAACAGTTGTATCTTACAAGCAAAATATTACCTTTTCTGCACAGCCATTAGCAATATCAGCCCCACGTTCCATGCCGTAAAACACAGACCAGAGAGAAGCTTAGCTATCGACATTTCATTTTGATTCGCTCATCTCTGTGCTGTAAAATGTAGTTAATACCTCCATGAAAAATGGAGGTATTATTTTTGGCGTGTCTGTCTGTGTGTGTGTCTTTGTGTCTGTCTGTGTGTGTTTCCGCAACTTTGTGGTCATCATAACTTCAGAACGCCTTTATGGATTGTGATGATATTTGGTATATTGGTAAATCTTAGGAAGACGAAGGTCAAAGTCAAATATGGGCCTCCTGGTGGATGACCTTGGTAATGCAGCAGACTTCCGGTTTTTGTATCTTTTTTCCTAAACATGCTATGGTCTTGAATTTTTGGTGACAAATAGCTTTTCCTGTCAGAAATAAGTGGTGTGGGTTTAAACCCCCTACCAGCTTGTTCTGGAACTGCAGGGGATTTTCGGGCGAAATCTTTAAAAGCCAATAAGTCCAGATAGGAACAACGTATTTTCATCATTTTTGGTAGGTAGGTAGCTGAGAGAGAGATGTACACGATTAAATGCAAATTATGCAAATTAGAACCTAATTTGCATAATTAATAAGGAAATTCTATAATTACAGTGTTTTACATTATAGTACTTTCATACATCTAATATATATAATCTATGGCAGATAGAACGTCAATGTAAAAGATGACCTAATTTGCATAATTATTGCGAAAATTATGATTTTTTAATGGTGAATGATGGCAATTCTGTACCTTGTGACATGTGTAGGTTACTTAAATGTTAACAACACTATGCATATATTATGTTAATATAGAGGCAATTTGCATAATTAATGAGGAAGTTTAAATGAGGATGTTTAAGGTTCCGGGTCGGAGTTTAATTCTGACCAGGGTTCCAAATAGTGCGCAGTAAATCGCCGGATCTGCGAGGTTGTCACGCTAGGTTTGGCTCCCCATAGCTCGGCGATCGCTGTAGATTTTCAACTAGGTTTTGAATTGATCAAAAAGCCTTGGGATTGTAGTGTTTTTCGGCGCGGTGAAGTTGGACGGCCAGCGAAGCGTTTTTGGTATTAGTCCGCGAGCAAGGGTGATGCGGTTTGGCGCCTGATGACCCAAATAGCTGCGTTCTATGTGGAATTTCTAGGGGTTCGCGTCACCGGATTTTGCGAAAAACTTATCGCAACAACCTATATTTTTTTCCTGTTTTTCAGAAACAGAAAGTAGTAAGCTATTTCAGCATATAAGCCGTTAGCCTGGGAAAATTCGTTTTTTCCAAGCAGGTCCGTTGAAAAAACTGCAAAAAAAACTACATTTTTCGTATCCAAAATTTACGTTTAACTACAGTTTCTACCCAAATTATAGAGTCGACGGACAATAACCAAAATTGTATCGGAAGCCGGCTGGAAACCTCCGTTGACTGATGTAATGAGATTTCCCGGCGTACTTTTTTTGGCGGAGTTATAGCCCTTCGGTCTGAGGGTGTCCGCCGGATCCAAAATCGTGAAAAAAACTCCGGTCCGAGACCTTAAATGAAATATTGCCAAAGGATAGGAGTTTGACACGAAAAATATTGTAAGTTGAGTTTAGAACACCATAAATTAAACTACATTATATCAATTGCCACCTTATTTCCATATTCAATGAAACAAAACATTTACATAAACTCTACATATTTCATGGAGGTATGAGATCTCAGAATTCTTGTTTAAGTTTTGTAATCACTCCTTGCTTTAAATCTACTGTATAAGTCTTATGACCACCTATTGCTGTACATCTATAGTCGTAAATTGTATAACTAGGTATTGTTGTAGATTCGCATTTTAAGTTTGTACTGTATCAATTGCGATATGATGTATTGTTTATGTGATTTTGTGAATAAAGAATTTAAAAAAATCTAGTAATTGACGCATCTAAAACTTGTTTCACCTCTGTCTACCCTGATATCTGTTCTTTTTCTCTCACTGGCACGTATAAAGCGGTATGTACATTCTGTACTTTAGCTAGAATAACAGTCTTATTCGAGGATAAACGTGTGAAGCCTTATAAGCTTTTTTTAAACTAATTGATCCAAGATAACCGTTGCTATCATATTGTTGTCGGCTTCAGAAAGAGGCGCAACCTTACATATGTACTATCAACTAGAGGAGGTAGAAACTGTAGTACTGCACATGTATGAGGTTCTATAGCCTTGCAACGTACTAGTACATACTAGTAACAGACACCAGCTATTAGGACAGAGAGACAACCCCAGGATTCGGCCAACCAAAACAATACTTCCGTACCCTAAAGTTGTGATTAAGTATTTCATACCAAAGATGCAAATTGTTGTTAAGTCTGCAAAGTTGCATTTGCTGTACATGTTCTAAGCTATTTTTTGATGCACTAGACTTTCCCTGTCACCAACTCAATCATTTTAGGAAGGTCCTAAGTCCGTCACTGACAGTGCACGTGTCATGTCCGCAGCTCTTCCTGTGTCCGACAGTCCAGTGTTGTTTCTGACAGTCTCGACTGCAGTACCGGGTCAGCTTGCACCGGCCACACAGCTTCAGGGTGGACCTGGAGAGGAGGGAACAGTTACACTAAAGCTGTTTAGGACTACGGTAGAATTCAGAAAACTGACCATTGTAGGCTGTACAAAGACGGAGATACAAGAATCAAACACAAGAGGTAACAAGTACACACACACACACACACAGTCACATACACACGCATTAACATGCACACACACAGAGGCGTATCACACACACAAACACATACACATACAAACACACATACATACATGGACACAGACACACACACGCATACACACACACACACATACATACATGGACACAGACACACAAACACACATACACACACACACACACATACATACAAACACACATACATACATACATGGACACACAAGCACACACACACACACACACACACAATCGCACACACACACACACACACACACACACACACACAAAGAAACAAACACACACACAATCGCACGCACACACATTCATACATACCTGTAGCCCGGTTTGCCACACGTAGGGTTGCAGCATCTCAGCAGCTTGTTCTTCGTCGCCTCTTGTACCAGCTCCATCATCTCTTTAAGTGCGCAGTCGCAGTCTTCTCCAAAGAAGTTATACTCGCAGTACCTAGTGGCAAACGTGACTCATTTAGGAAGCAAGAAACAGAAGATTCCCAGAGATTTTATGACCTTCAACTTCACCCTATTTCCAGTGCCTGATCTTTGGACCTCCTGTCATTCTTAATCTGCTACTAGTATTTCACGCCACTCACGTGCTGTCAACCTACTTCCAAGTTTTGCCCACATTTCCTTTGACCACAGCTCAGCCACCAAAAACAATACTTTCATATTAGTCATCCATTGTTAAAAGACGGGACACTTACTGCTGGGTCGTATTGCCCTGCGCGTCGGCCAGGTCAACTCTCGCTCCGAACTCGATCAGTTGCCGGACTTCTTTGAACATAATGTCAGCCATGAGCGGCGTCCTCAGGAACGCGTCCCGGATGTCTAACGTTGCACCGTGATATACCAGCAAGTCCACCACTTCCGTATGCCCTGGGTTGGAGTTGCAATGCGAGAAATATGCATCAATAAACCAACGCTACAATAACATTACAATAAGTAAGAAATAGGTAGGTAATACTACAATGTACTATGCAATATAAACACAAATAAAGTAAAAAATCTACTAGGCACCACCTGATACACCGTCGTAAATTTAGTTTTTGCATGTTGTAAGATCCTCTGTGGTCTCTTGCTGGCCTGGCCGAAAAACTTCATTACAGTTCATATTACAGTTCACATTTCAGTTGTTAGCTCTAGTTGTATTTTAGTTTCAGGTTCGACTAGTAAGCTTTTAGCCAACTGGCCTTTTTTAATGTACGACTTACCGTTGCCCGCCGCTCCATGAAGGGGGGCACAAGATATACCCTGGTTTCTCTTCGTTACGGACGCCCCCTTGCGGAGCAGCAGCCCCACGATGTCTGCATGCCCTTTGATGGAAGCGACTAACAGCGCCGTTCCAGTACTCTCCTGGTCTTCCTGGGCGTGGTCAATGTCGGCACCTACCTCCGAATTTACTTTAGTAAAACTGAATAGCACAAGAGATACATGTACCAGACATCGGGATAATCTCCAAGCAGATCTTTCGGTGGCAAGACAGTATCCATTGGCCAGAGGAAATGGATACAGGATGGCCAATGGATACAGGATGGCCAATGGATACAGGATGGCCAATGGATACAGGATGGACAATGGATACAGGATGGACAATGGATACAGGATGGCCAATGGATACAGGATGGACAATGGATACAGGATGGCCAATGGATACAGGATGGACAATGGATACAGGATGGCCAATGGATACGGTCTTTTGCCACCCAACCGAAAGATCTGCTTGGAGATTAGCATCGGGAGACATAGCCGCTTGAGTCTCTATTTGGCCAACTTCTACTTTTTCCAGCCGTCCCCCGAAGCCTGGAAGAGGCTATGAGTTACAGACATCCTCTTGGATGGGATGGTGGTGGTAAATACATAATCCTATTAAATCACGATGCTGGAAGGAACAGGCTGTTGGAAAGTTACTACAATCCCTCTAATCAAGGTATAATGTCCTTGTCCTTGCTCTGATAAAATCACAAACCCACCATGACAATTTGTGCCTCTTTACATATCCTCCGCCCATGTCAGTAGCGTGGCCAGGAAAGGTGACGTCATCAGCGCGGCCAGCGACTCGCTGAAGGGAGGACTTCCTGTGGGTTTCTGATGAGGACTTTACAAGCGGATTAACAGACAGCTTTCAAGCAGACTCATTCTAATGCCAATTGGAATTAGAGAAATCTTATCTGGAGTTAAATGTTGGGAGACAGGAGTGCGTAAGTCCTTACTTGAGTGCGGGTTTGCTTCCCTATGGCATTTACAAACTTCACATACTACAAATACGTTCCAAATTGTCAGTTCTATTGGCCAACGGTTAAAAGACATATAGTTTCAATCGTTCCTAAAAGAAATGCACAATAACAACAAAGGTCGAGCTGCCAAAAATAAGTTAAGATCGTATAGATTGTTTAAAACTACATATAATGAAGAAAAATGCCTAAGTAATGAAAATGTGAAGATCAGAAATGCCGTCACAAGACTAAGGATAAGCTGCCACAAACTACAAATTGAAACTGGAAGACATACCCGCACCCCTCTGGAACAAAGGTTAAATATGTAAATGTCGTAATTTGAATAGAATAGAGGACGAATGTCAATTTGTTACAGGATGTAAATTATATAGTAAAGAGAGAAACGATCTGTATAGGCTTGTACAAAACCTATCTTCTTACTACATACAGTTGAACACTTTAGAAAAATTCTTATTCCTAATGCGACTTGACAAACCTTCCATCGAAAAACATATCTGTTCCTTTATCTCCACTATAACTGTAAAGCGAGAAGTTGAATTTATGTAATGATAGCTAAGTTTAGTTTGTATATATCTTTTCATCATATCTTGTTTTGACCTGTACTTAGACCAGTGTGGCAAAAATGTACAATAAAGGCCGTCATTCATTCATTAACCTATAGACAAACAAGAGTTCCACGATTTCATACCTTCGCCAAATGATGTTAACCCTGGTGGCTGACGAATTATACAATTTTAATCATTGATTTCGCAAATAAGAGCCATATTCTAAATTATTTGGTAACGTTGTTTCTCATTCATCATCATCATCATAATGCACATATACACATATTTTATTCATCTTTATTAAATGCGATTTGTGAAAGCATTGACAACACATAATTAAAAACACGTGGCCAAATACTTTGGTGCAATATTTTATTGACTTCCTACCGTCGGTTTACATTTCACAAGCAAGTCTTCTGCAGTCATGGCAGTGCGTCTGTGGAACGGTTTCACAAATTTTAGGTTTCATTTTTCACGCCTCGCCGCCAGGGGGCGCAGCTGACACGTCAGACAGAAACGCGCCATGCACCAATTTCACACTTCCCATAATGCCCAGCAAAGATCACGGATATGACGTAAGACCACCCCCTCCCCCTTCCTCGATGTACTATTTCCAACAAGTTCTATCGACAAACTGGTCAACTATTGTTTTGAATTATATATCTAGTATAAAGCGCATGCCATAATTGCATTTTTGTTGGAATTACAGAAAATTATGTACCTTCTATTGTTCCACCTTCCACCGAAGACTCTCCTACTCACACGTATAATGCGACCGTGCGGTGGAAGGTGGAACAATAGAAGGTACATAATTTTCTGTAATTCCAACAAAAATGCAATTATGGCATGCGCTTTATACTAGATATATAATTCAAAACAATAGTTGACCAGTTTGCCGATAGAACTTGTTGGAAACATCTGTGGAAATCACCTTTTACATTATCAGTTGTTGAGACACATTCTTGAAGCCTGATTTAGTAATACTAATATACTGGGTCTCTGCGAATTTATGTCAACTCATTTAGAAAGTAAACAAAAGGATATGAGGACTTGTATAGCCAAAAGCAAGTGACAAACAGACCGGCACTTTTTGGTAAATTTTGCACTGAGAGGCAAGAATGATTGATTTCTGTAGGTCTGTTTATGTTTGATGCATAATATTCATAATAATGATAATAATAGCATTGGCTCAATTACTATACATGTGTTACATTGCTCCTGCCCCTCCTAAGGTTGTTTCTGGAAAAGCCCTTTCACCGCACAGCAGCCTTGTTTTTTACAAAAGTGAATTTTGCGTGATTTTTTACAATTTCAAACGT